AACCTTTATTACTGAATTGAAGTTTCCTCACCAGTTGCAGAGAAAAATCTCTATATTCTATGCAAACTAAGGAGCAACTCAGTTTATACTTTTCTTTACAATCGTTAAACACATAATGGGCCTGACTTCTGCCCTTATCACTCGGTGTAATTGCTTGATCTTGCAGTTCCTGCACATGTTGCTTGAAGCACATTCGGGCTTCTAACTGCAGCAAAGTGGACATAATATAAATTAGGAGAGCAGAGTTCACAGTGCAGCGGAGTGGAGTTGGGTAAAGTGTAAATTGGGGGTGACAGTAACTGCTCTTTATTTCGCCATAGATAATGTCTGAGCTGTGAAAATGTGTCTTTAGCTTCAAGAGGTCTTGGACTTTGTTTAGCATTCATAAAGAAGTGCCTGATTAACAGAGGTAGCATGTTACCATTCTGTAGTATTGATGCCCTAATGCTTGATTTTTCTTTGAACCCAGGTAGAATTAGAAGTACTAACTAATTTTAGTATTGGCTGATATCAGATACAAATCACAATACTAAATATAAATTAGTATAATGAAGAGTTCTGGGTTATATTCTGTATTATATGTTAGGGAGACAAAGATAGAGTTTTACCTTCTACCTGGTGGGAATTCAGATGCATTTTATTTCAACATAAATTCCTGTCGTCCCTTATCGAAAATAAGTATTTTTTGAGTTGTAATTTCAAAGCTTTTAAATCAGCAGTTCTCTGTTTATAGACCAGATTTAGATTCTAGGCTAACCCGGGGGTTGCTTTTTCTGTCACCTTTTTTTACTTGGAAATACCCCGACACAACTGGCATAGCTCCTCCACAAAATTCTGCCCTGTTTAAGTTATTTATCCATATATGGAAGTGAAAACAATTACAGAGCTGTATGTGCTTTAAGTCAAAACTGACCGCATACTATGGAAAGACTGAACATACCACCCTCCTTTTTGTGGTTCTTTTTCAGATGTATGATTGGGCATCCTTCCATAATATTTCATTTCCAGTTTTTTTGTTTCCTTTTGGAAGATTTTGCTCCATCTCTTGTTCTCTCGTTTCGCTGGCTCACAACAGAAGACCTGAAAAAAACAAATTTCAAATGTTTTTCTCTTTCTTAACACTCAGTGCTCCTTTAGCTGTGAACCTTGTCGAACCACAAATAAGGTTGATCCTGTCATTTTGTAAAGGTTATGTGCGGAGTAATCATTTCTAATGAGTTTATGTAAAGTAAAACATACTGCTCTCACCCTCTCAAACGGGGTCCCATTTTTCAGCGGTTCGCAGAGACTAAGGGGCTGACGGAGCTTCTGGCAGTACTCACATGTAGCAAGATGAGCATTGTTTTCCGACTCATCTTCTGGAGGCTACAGCCAAAAAAAAACAAAAGGAAAACTTACATGTTTAGTTATTTCTGTCAAAAAAAAGACCATTGCTGTCAACTTGCCTTTGAAATGTGAATAGTTTGTTTTGTTTCTTGTCTGTATGCTATAAGACGAGGTAGACCAAACAAGGGTATATCATACTCCTCTATCTCTTCGCCTTCTGTTCCCTGTGTTGATCACAGATGAAAAAACGATTAAATAATTGATGTCCAAACTTTATGGCCGCAGGAAGTGGGGGTGCTGGGGGTTCTGCAGCACCCCCTAGTGGCGAGAGGGAGATTTTTTAAAAATCTAATAAGAATACTTTGCACAATTTATACATTTCTTATGAATATTTTGGGAAATAATTTTGACGTTTTTATTTTACTTTTACGTATATTTGGATTTTTTATTTAATTATTTTGAGGCCTAATCTACGCAAGTTCACGTTCACAGGTTACATTGCCATGGCAATGTCAAGCAAGCTAGTTGTTGCCAAGTAAAACGGTATCCCGCTCGCGGCTGCAGACTAGTAAATTTACATAGTCTAATGACATAAACTAGGGGTATGGCATGGAAATGAATTTCAAATTTTTTGGCAAAACCACCACCAGTAAAGAGGAACACTAGCATCGCAACCATAACAACGGAGAGCAGCTGGAGTGAGGAGACTGTTGGCCCACCTCTGTTGGCAATAAAATAATTTAATAATTTAAATAATAGGGCATATATTCACCTGAGAACTGATTATGTCTGTGTGTTACAGATCCTAGTTGTGTGCACTGAAATGTATATGAATTGAAAGAAATCATTTTTTGTCATAAGTACAAAGCAATGAAATTAACTCTTTATTTAACCCATCCCCTTGGGAAGCAGTGGACTGCCATCGTGCCGCAGGCGGGGAGCAGTGTGGGGTTAAAGGACTAGCTCAGGGACCCAGAGTGTAGGCTGTGGGGGTCAAACCGGATAGTTGCAATCATCTCGGAGCACAAGCGCGCCAAAAATTGCACTACATGTCTTTGACTACTGCCATTGCCCTGACCTCACCTGACTTTTTTAACGAATAATAATCTGATATTTATGTCACACGGCACCACTCTTAGCTAATCATCTGTCACATCAGATAGTCAATGCATTTTTTACATTCTATTATTGGATGTTGCGCTGCAGCCCAGCAAAAATATAAATAAATCTACTCTTCAAGCCTTGTGCCTCATAAAGCAGGACAATTACACATCCCGCTGGTTGCGACGCCATAAGCTGGAATGCAATGAAAATCCAAACTGTCCGGCCTGAAACCGGACATCTGGCCAACCTAATTCCGGTAGCCAGTTAGCTAGCCGAACATGGAAAAGTAAAGGCTGGGCTTACTGGTGTGACAGCACAGAACAGGTAATATTAGCTTGTGTGCTAATATGGGGGGTTATAGCTCCAGACTATAGTGAAGACCTGTCTAAGGACAGTTTAGCAAGTCTGCTCTGATATAAGCCTCAAAGCGAGAAGAGGTTTTGGAATGACGCTGCATCGTTGTGCAAGCTGTTTATAGGAGAGGTGCAGTGGTAGGATGTAACAAAATAGAAGTACTTCATTACTGTATTTAAGTAAATTTTTTTATGTATCTGTACTTTACTTTGGTTTTACACTACAAGTTACATGAAGTACCTATAGTTTTAACTCCATTACAAATTCTAATGCTTTTAACAGATCACGTTACATTGTTTTTCATTTATTTTGTCAGCTTGGTTTGAGAGATTTAAAGTAATCAAATGCTTTATGGGGATTGGTCTACTGAACAACTCCAAAGCGAGTAGGTAACATTGGACCTGCCTCCCCCAACACGCATCTAAAATGGATTCCAGAACGCAGAGTCTGCCAACAGAGTTGTGCACCCGTGGCTTTATTTGAATGACCTGTCCTGTATAAATGCAACAAAAGATGACTCCTGGAGATTCAGGTGCCCCCTTTGTTTTCCCTAAAAGCCCAAGCTTCTTGTTTTAAACAACTCACCATCAGATCTAAAAAAAACATATTAAAGTAAGTTGCTAAATGCTACTTTTTTTGCATGAGACAGACATTAGTAAAAGCTTACCTAGCTTTTACAAACGGTCTGCTTGCGAGAAGCAACCATGATTGAAACGCATAGAAGTCGGGTTTTTCATTTGTGTTTGCTTTCATGCTTATCAATGTTGGACTGCTATATTAAGCCACAGTCCATACCCATTTAATGGGCTTCTTAAAAAAAAAAAAAAAAAAGACACTACGATTCTAGCATTTTGTTCCCTGTGTTACTTAAGAAACACTGTGTTACAGTATTTTCAGCAGGGGGAGCTTTTTAGATGCCTCAGGCAACACCTGCCTGAACTTATGGAGAAAGGAGCTCATTCAGTTTCCATTACTGCAAATAAATCACATGTGCAAAGCTGTGACATATACTGCCCTGGATTAGAAAAAAAAGACATAAATATCATATCCTGAATATGCATTTAATCCACACATCATAAAAATGTATTGAACTCCCTTTATTTTAAATGTTTCCCGTTTACCAGTTAGCTCCGAGAACAGACTATGTGATCCTAGATAATAACTCTGTTCAACTTTTTTTTAAATTACTAAACACAGCAAAAAAAGTCAGACGAAACAGATTCATTCAACTAGCTTTCATATTTTCAGTCTGATATTCTTAGCAAAGAAAGGAATTGATAGATTAGTTAATTTGCATATGTGAGTACTTAGTTTAATTCTATAAAGTCCAATTTGTATAAATTCTGACTAAAATTCACTTATTCTTTTTCATAGGTAGCACAGATCTCACCTCCAACAATATGTTGCTCTCACTGCAACAGCCACCAAAAGGAGCAGTACATACATTCTCAAGGTCATTTGTCAGCAGCAAAGCACAGATCTGAGCTTTCAAAGGGAAGCCGGAGTAGTTGTCGGGTACCTTATTAACAATGGGGCCTCTCTTGTTGTCACACGTCTCGTGCTCCTCCAGGCTCCTAAAGTTGTCATAAAACTGTCGAGAGGAGAAGTCACCTTCTCTAGGACTCTCAGGAGAGGCAGAGGCAGTTTCTCCCTTGTAGGATGGAGTCAGACTCATGTTTTCAAAACGTGATATGTCATATGAAGCAGAGTCTCCAGAGAAAACTGACTGAACACAGTACAGTTCTGATCTGATTTGTTTTTGTTCAAATGCGGTTGCCTGGCAGTGGCTGTGCATCAAGATCATCTAAACTGTCATGTAGCTTCAAAAGATTTCTTTCCCTAACCTTTATCTATTACTTAAATCTGTAATGATTTGAAAGAGGAGTGTGCAGAATGCTTTGTAGCTTTAGAATAGATCTCTCACAATGCAGAAATAAATATTCTGCAGCATAAAAACAACTTCATTATTATGAATTAAAAATATATGTATATAATTGATTTATAAGTAAGAAAGAAAATGTACGGTTTGTTACCATTGAAGACTTTAAAATGATCGCACTACTTAATAACAGACTGTACACCTCACCACCATCCTTTCATTCAGGATGATGCATCAAGGGGAGTAATTACAGTCACTACTGACAGATCGATGAGTAATGCTGACAATACCTTAGTCTATAAAATCCCGATCTCCCTCAGCTGGATTTGAACATTTATAGCAGGCACAGCAACAGAGAGTAGTCTTTTGTGTTAAATATAAAGTCTATTTTCTTAAGGTTTTACAGTGCTTTGCTTCAAACAGTGCGCATCTGAAGGTAGGCTGGAATAATTCACTGTATCACACTATTTCAGCTCTGTTTGTTAATTCCTTTTTGCCTTTTGATCAGGAAATTAAATTAATCCTTTTGCATTACCACTGAGGCATTGCTGCAAATCTAAAGGCTATATATGCTAATTATTGATTTTTTCCCCCTGTTTTTTGCACAGATTTGACAAAAAACACTTCAGGGTTTTATTAACAAAATTAGAGACAATGAGGACCGTGACTCTCCTTCTGTGTTTTGGAAACATGTTTGTCGTATTACTGGCCAGTCATCAACATTCAGGCCAAAACCCTGTAGTCACACTCAATGAGACAGACCCCCCTGGTTTCTTAGCAATGGAAAAATGGCAATCCAACAGCTCGCTTCTTCCAAACCAAGTAACAGGAGGAAAAACAGCACAGCCCCCCATGTGCTTGAAGTCTACTGGAATTAGAGACGCCTTCAAATATATCAACATTATGGTCTCCCTTGTGGTGTTTGTTGTTGGAATAGTGGGGAATCTTGCTCTGCTGAAAGTCATATATACAAACAAAACCATGAGAAGTGGACCTAACATTATCATTGCAAGCCTTGCTTTGGGAGATCTGATACACATTGTGATAGACATTCCTATCAACTCATACAGGGTGAGTTACTTGACATATGCTGTGTAATAATGAGAAATTGCACTTTATGTTGCCTGTCTGCACTCCCGTTTATATATTTTTTTCTTTACATTTTTTCTTTTTTTTTTGTCTTTGTGGCAGCTTCTGGCAGAGGATTGGCCCTTTGGTTTAATAATGTGCAAATTTGTACCTTTTCTCCAAAAGACATCTGTTGGGATTACTGTGTTGAGCTTATGTGCCTTAAGTGTTGACAGGTAAGGAGATAAGCAGCACTGTTCTGTTACCTCCTTTCAAATATTGTTTTGAGACTAAAATCTGTATTTTATCGAGCAGACATTTGTTCAGCATTGGTCCTTGACATGCTCTCCAACTTGAAATAAATAGAAATAAAAATTACTTCATTGTTGCAGACAGAAAGTTCCCGAAGCCATAACATTTTCTCATTGATTTTGTAGATACCGCGCTGTTGTGTCCTGGAATCAAATCAAAGGCATCTGGGTCTCTGTGCGGACTGCGATTGAAATAACCCTGATATGGGTTTTTTCCATCCTGCTGGCTGTCCCTGAAATTGTTGGCTTTGATATGATAACAATGGACTATAAAGAGAAGCATCTGAGGATATGTCTGCTTCACCCTATCCAAACCACCCAGTTCATGCAGGTAATATCATGATGTTCACTCCAACAAAATAAACTGAAAATACAAAATTTTATCAAATGTTATGTAAAAAATGTCAAATATGCATTTATTGATGTCCCTATTGACCTATAAAAAGGTGCATTGATGTTCTATCACCTCCATCGATGACAGTTTTCCTGGCATATGTCCTGTTCAATTTACAGTTTTATAAATCTGCAAAAGACTGGTGGCTCTTTGGCTTTTACTTTTGCATGCCTCTGACCTGGACTGCAGTTTTCTACACACTGATGACCAGAAAAATGCTAAGAAACACTGAGAATACTTTAAGTGAACACATCAAACAGGTAATAAGGTGATATTTAAGTTTCATGCTCAATGTGAAACCATTAAAAATGATTTATTTGATTTTGTTGTTAAATGATATGTGTGATATGTTGTTTTTTTAAAGAGGCGCGAAGTTGCCAAAACTGTGTTCTGCCTGGTTTTGGTGTTTGCACTTTGCTGGTTCCCTCTGTACCTCAGCAGAATCTTGAAATGGACCATATATGATTCAAAGGATCCTAACAGGTGCCGACTACTGAGGTGAATATTTTTGGTAACACTTTGCTTACTATAACAATAGGTTTGGCTTACAAACGTATGTATATACCTTAAAATTGTTTCAATTTGGTCATATTACAACCACAAACCTAAACATTTTATTATGGGGTGATAGACCAGCATGAAGTAGTGAAAAATTGTTCAGCGGAAGGAAAAAGATATATATAGACTGTGAAAGGAGAGCATTTGTAAGATGAAAAGAAGCCCTTGAGAATTATGGAGGAGCTATAGAGGTCCACAGCTCAGGTGGAAGAATCTATTATCAATTCAACCATTGGCCATGCATTCTACAAATCAATTAACGACAGCATGAAGGTGTGGTTATGCTTTCCTACAGCAAGGACAGGGAAGCTGGTTGGAATGGTTAGGAATACTAATGGAAATAAATAGACAACAATGCCTAGATTAAACCTACTAGAGAACACAAAGCACTGAGAATTCAACCAGGATAACTACTGCAATCTTGTAGCCTCAACTGCAAAGAAGATGGTTCAGAGCAAAGTGTGTTCTTTTGTTTGAATGTCCTAATCAAAATTTTACCAATAGGTAGTATGTAAGAAACATTTAAACATCTGATCTGACTAAGTTTATGCAATTTAAAAAGAACAACAGTTAAAATGATCAGCCTTTAGATGTGACATAGACATATCAGACATATCTGAAACTCTGAAAACATTTGTGTATAATACCTTTCAGTACTTGATGACAACATTTTTGTTTTTTGTCCTCCATAAATATTCCATAACTTGAGTCAAATGAAATCCCAGTTAACACTGTGAAGTTTGTTGCTACCAGATGACAATTTATGGAACAGTGTAAGGGGTATGAATTCTTATGCAAGGCACTGTTTGTCATACCCTAATGTATGCATTCTCTTCCAGTGTCTTCCTCGTCCTTGACTATTTTGGCATTAACATGGCATCACTAAACTCATGTATCAACCCCATTGCATTGTACATTGTCAGCAAAAGATTCAAGAGGTGTTTCAAGGTGAGTGTCGTTACTGTTCCGACAGGGCTTCTATATGGTAAAAACATTGTGGTTTCTGTAGGATGATGAGTATATGTGTGTGTGGGTGTGTGTGTGTGTGTGGGTGTGTGTGTGTGTGTGTGAGAGAGAGTGTCTGGGGCGCTTTGGGGGCTGGGGTATCATAATGTAGTCATGTCTGTAAAGGCTGCTAGACAGCACACCTTAGGGGGTAATAAGTGAAAATGACCTGGAAAAACATTATCAGGTAAGGAAATATGTCATTTGGCTATCTACCAGACAGTCTGTGAATCACACTGATGTGCTATGAAGAAACAAATGTAACCTGGAGGTATTTTTTAAAGAGAAGCTATTTGAAGCTCTTTATTGTACAACAATCACAGGGGAAGCTATTGGAAATATTCACTGATTCATTTTGCCACACTTTAGCTTAACACTATAGATCACATATACTGTAATATTTACCTTCTGTTGTATTACTTTTGTATTCATCTTAATAGATAAATAAGCCGATCCGTTTTATTGCAATATGTACCTATGCAAACTATTCAAGGCTTGTTTTGTGGATCAGTTCTTGGTGGTGAGTGAGATGTTTTTCCTATGATGTAGATGTTTGCTGGCTACATTATTTTTTTTCTGTGTGGTCCTTCAGGCATGTCTGTGCAGTCTCTGTCTGCCTCTCCAAGCCAATGCCAACGACGAAGTGGTGTCTGTTTTGAAGTCCAAAATGCAGGATCAAGCCTCAGAGCAAAGCAGCAACATCAAAGCTCACCAGGAGCCTCAACCTGTTAACACCTTACTGTGCTAACAAAAATCCTAAACAAGTGTGAAAATACTTTGTGATCTTGTCTATAGTTCTTTGTAAATGTGTATGACTTTCAAAACAAAGAAAATGTCTTCTGTCTGCACCTTGGCAACCTTCGACATGCCAACCCTATAACGTAAAAAGGCCTCCAGATAACATAGGGCACTGTCTTTTGTTATGCTGTCGTCAGCTGAACATCTGCTTTGGCGTGAGCAACCTTAAGTGTACCGACTATTATTTGCCCCCAAGGCTTGACTCACTTCCAAACATTACATCAGACGTTACCTTGTACCTTTCCTGTATCATGCATCACACTCCTTAAATCACTGTTTCGGGTGCAATGTCAAGTTGGCATCCATCAACATGCATCTTGTCACAGCTTAAAGCCTACATACACACACACACACACTCATTTTATAAAAACATATACTACTGGGAGTTCTCCAATCACTTAAATACTCCTCTCATTCCTGCTTTACACCCAATGTGTGAAAAGTTTACATCCTCAATTTCCTCCTTGATCCTGAAAAGAAAAAAAAAAATAACTGGTGCCACAAGTAGATTCAGACTCTGCCACTGAAAGAACTGATTGATGGTGGCCTATTTTTAATACATTGTTAAATGTGTAATGCATGGAGACACTTTATGAAAGACCTGAGAGTGGGGAGGAAGGAAAACGAAGATGACAGAATGAGGTCAGGAGAGAGAGAGGGAAGGGGGGTAGCACCTGATAGGTCTTCCTGTCAGGACAAGGAAAGTGCAAACAGCACGTTGCTCCAGCAGCTTATGCTGCATCAGTCTGAGAGCTGAATTGCCGATTAAAAGTTTAGAATGTCTCACTTATCATGTCTCAAAATTAGCTGTTTGAATAATTCTTTGTAATTACTTAACATGTTTGTGATGCTTGCATAAAAAAGTTATTTTGTAAACTGTATGCTTTTAAATGAAAATTTCATCCAAGTTCTCAAACTTGTGTCATTAGAAATTATTCTCCTGAATATTCCTGAATTTCCATTTAACAGATCACTTCAAATGTAAAAATGAAAACTTTTTTAATTTGCAAGATCTATCTTTGCATATAGGGAATAAGCTCCAAGTTTATGTGGTCCAGAGACTAACTTCCCTTTTGGAGTAAAGTCTGAATTCTAGCTTATCCAATCCAAAACATGAGTGTTCCCATTACAGTTTTTCTCACTTGCAATGGTATATATTTCTCCCACCAGTATTAAAGTTTGCACCACTGCTAAGTAGAGGTGGGCAATACCAGAACTTTGGTATCAATACGATACCAAGTAAATACAGGGTCATGCCACCAATAGCAACACCAGTTGTTAAAAATATATATTCAGCAGGATTTATCAGGAAACTGTTGACCTTTTGATGTTTTTGTGATTTTTCCTTTATTATTGCAATTAAACAATGGAGCAATTGAACATAAACAAAACAAATGTAAAACAATTTAAAACAAAATCTTAAGAAAATATAAACAAACTTAGCACACCACGACAAATATTGCTTGTTTGGCTGCTGCCACTGAGGTGCTTGATGTCAACGGGAGGGAAGGGCAAGAACACACTTAAGATTATTGTTCAATATCAGTACCAGTGTTGATATTGATACTACCCATACTAGGATGGATCCGCCCACCTCTACGGTAAAGGCGTTTCTTGAAGCCGTGCAAAAAGCAAAAACAAACATATATAACCTGCAGAATTGAGTTGCATTCTCAGAATGGAATAGTCAATAGCACAAAAGTCAGTAGCCCAAAATGGGTAGCTTCAAAAGCAAAACCCTTAATGACCATTTTGTCATTTTGTCTTCAAAAGCAAGTTTTTAAGTTAATGTTAATTACATAAAATATTTGGTCAAAATGCATTGTTAATGTTCATAAATGTAGTCATTAAATTCAATTAAGTGAACGCTAAAATGTGGTTGATGAGTATGTTGATTGTTAATCAACTGTTGAGCTCAAACTTGGATGTAACCTCCCCTCTGCTCTGGAGCTGCAGAGCACTTCTTGTCAGTCTCTATGAGAAATCATTGATGAGGTCTGAGCCTCCATCCATTGAAGCAACCATAAAGAAAGTTGGGCCCTGATTAGCCAACACACAAAAATCTGTCACTTTCAGTGAGGGTTAATTTTTAAGGGGGATGGCTGTTCAATTCTAATTGATTGAACAGATTCGACTGACATTGACAAGACAGGGGGGAGGGTTTCTTCATGAGAATGAGACATAAGAGGAAAAAAGTGATAATTCAGCCAGAACTGTGCTCTTATGCTAAACTCTAATTATTTCACAACAGCTATTTTACCAGGGGTCACAAAGCAGCTTTAGCAAACTCAGATTCAAATCCAAAACTCTAAATTGATCTAGCCTAAAGTTAGGAACTCTGACTTTTCGGTTTCACTACGGCTGCTATGAAAAAGATCAATCAACTCTAAGTAGAACCACTCAGAGTTTTGGAGATTCACAACAAGTAGGAAAAACTATTATCAGTGGAGCACCGATTCGATGAGTCACCATGACAACAGGCAACAGGAAGTGCCTATTTAACCCCACTGGAACCACAGATTTTAATGCAAAAAAACAAAGAAAAACTGTGTTTAAAAGACAAAGAAACAGTGGTACAGCTAAAAAGGAGAGAGGATGGTGAAGGAGAAGATTGTTGCTCGAGTTTATATAAAGTGGGCTAAGGCAGGCCGATTTTTACATTTATTAAAAGCACTCTCCTCTCTGCTTTTCAATTTGTAGGTCATTAAAATAAGGTTCATCCTTATCAAAATCACACCCCTGGACCTAACTTTAATGTAGACCAAGGGCGTAGGTTTGATTTCAACTTTGGAAGGGACACTATTCCTCAGTTTCATTGGTCTTTTGCAAAAATATGAATGCTCTTTTTTATGCTTAATGTGAGCTTCAGGGCTCATTTTGTTTAAAGAGAACAGCAGCATTTATTGCTACATAAATACAAATCTTATAAGCACTACACTCACTAGATGCTGTTTATCAATATTTAAAGCATAACTGGCTCTGATGAATGTGGAATTAGGACTTTTTCCACTTTGAAAAGGATTGCATTTAAATTTACCTGCGACTAAGACAGTGTCTGTTTAACCAAATATAGTCTATAATATGTGGATTTATCCTGTTTTTATTTCTGAATATATAGAATTGTGCAGAGGTAAACCCCACTCTTATTTTTTTTATCTAATATGCTCTCTCTGGATCATGCAAAATAATACGTTCAAGGGACAGCAAATAAATGTATTGTATTTACATGTGCACTGGAACTATAAGAGGAACTGACACTGAGCATTTAAAGTATTAATATTAGAAGTTGTACATCTGGGCTGTAGTTACTCTGTGTAGCTAATTTCAAGTATTTTATCTATGGCTGAAGCAATTAATCATATTAACAAATTATTTAAATAATCGTGAACTAATTTAGTAATTGATTAATCGTTAACTGGAGTATAGGGCCACTAAAATGTGCCTTTAGCCGACAGAGCGACCCACTTAGAGCAGGAATTATACCAAGATTGTAAAAAGATATGTAAACATTTAGCATTTAAGAAGTAAAAAAAAGATAGTTTTTGTCTGTCAATATTCTCCATCCAGAACTCCTCCAAAGGAAACGTTTAAACGTTTCTGTTTCACCTGGTTTCATTTCATAAAAGATCTTCTTTAAGGAGCCTTTGGCTATCTGATTAAAAGATAAAATAAAAGAAATCCTAACGTTGTTAACTTACATTTCTCAAGTTCCACAAATCAAAAAACTCTCTCCTGCTTCTTTACAGAACTCCAATCAGAAGCTTTCGCCTGTTTTAGCGTAGATAATAACTTTTTTAATTTGGACTAGTTTCGTAGCCCAATATTAATTTATTTTAGCGTCTTTTTTTCGCGCTCCAAGCACCCGCGCGGGCGCACATACTGACTAAAAAACACGCAATCAGAAAGAGAGAAGGCGGAACTTAAGGCAGAATAATCAGAGTTAAACCGCGCAGCACAGTTGAGCGCTGCTATGTGAAAGGGACAGGAAGAAGGCAGCTGCAGCTACCAGGCAGAGAAGCTGCGAGAGGAAAAGAAGCGGCTGCTGTATAGTAAATTATAAACATGTTGTTTACATCCAATTATTGGTAGGGACAAATAGGTCCGTCCAAAATTTTGGTAGGGACATGTCCCAATGGTCCCTATGCAAACCTACACCCATGATGTAGACTCAGTAGGCTGCTATGGTCGAGTGAATCCTAATCCTAACCCTAAAGTAATTCCTTTTCCCCCATGGAATTAATGAATCTATTTATGTGTAATCTGAAAATAATTTAGGTTTTTCATGTACTGTAAATATGACTAAATAAAATAAACTGATTTGCATGTCGCTTATACTAAACAAAGCAAAAACAAGTAATCTTATGCCCAATTGAGTTGTAGAATCCTCTCCATATAAATATTTCATTTTCTGTGAAAAAGTGCTGATAATTCTTTAATAAGATCCTCATCAAACAGACAGGCACTGTTTGTTTTTAAAAACTAATTCGTCTTACGACCCTAGTAATTGATTTGTGCATATATATATATATATATATATATATATATATATATATATATATAAATAATGCACAAAACTACAACAATAATCTGACTAAATCAGGAAATAAAACAATGTGATTGGCTGTAAGGAGAGCAGAGACAGCTCACACCCGAGTTTACTGAAGAAAAACTGCAACAGACCAGGTTAGCTATGGGAAGAATGTTACTATGGTGCTTGAAACAGTGTTTGAGGTAGCTCTCTTTGTGAAACGGAAAAGTCAGAGTTTCCTTGTTTTTAGATTTAGAAAACTTTAGAATTTTTTGGTAAACCTGCTCCATCAAACTAATAATTTGTCAAACCCTGATGTAGTAATGTGTTATATGCATTTCAATATTTATTAACGCAATATATTAGGTTTGGATTAAATAAACACCAGTGAGCATGGCCTGTTTCAGAGAGAAGGAGCCACCCCTGGATCAAAGCAAATCATTTGGTGCTGAAAATCCCTAAATCAGTGTGCTCCCTGGTTCTCCCAGTGAAATATCTGAATAATCAAACCAACAGTGGTTATGCTAACATTTGGCAACACCCTTCAGCCTCAGCCATTATGAGATCATTCAGTTAAGTTTCGATTTAGTATGTACAGCTTCTATGTACAGCACGTCCTCTCGAGACCCTTTGCAATAAAACAGGTTCAAATGTTATTTTATTTCTTTAATAATGTTTATTTTATTTTATTTTTTTCGGACAAATTCATGAATATTTCTTGCATTTCATTGTCATTGTTGTCGATTTGTTATTCATACCACCATGGTAGAATATAACTGTATTTTTATTTTCAGCTATTATATTGTTGGAATCTCAAAGCAATCAATCTTGCTATAGTTCACTGTTCTCATTTACATAGAAACATATTTATGTAGATCTACAACGTCTGTACACAAAAGTATGCTGGCAAAGGCTCAAATACTGGAAGCATATACAGTAATTTCAGGACAATGTTGTCAAATGCTCAGCAAGTGGAAAAGTGAGCAGAAGATACATGCTATCATGTCCCCAGCAGGCTCACTTCTGTATGATGATACAGACACAATCAAGCTTTTATATCCAGAGGATGACGTCAGCGACAAAGTCAGCCAGGAAGCAGGAGTCTCAGACCCTCTTCAGTAATCTCTGTACGCACAAGGCTCACATGCGGCTCCCCGTTGTTCTGCCCAGGCTCCCCAGACTGTGGATTTAATTAAACAGTGTGAAATTAATTAATCAGTTGGGTGGCAGGTAAAAAAGAACTTCTCACCGGAGGAGCTCAAGAAACCAAGACAGGCATTTTATCCGCACTGACAGTTATTAATTTGCTGTATGTTTTATTATAGTGTGGCTATAAAGAGATG